CGAAGAACCTCGTTCAAAACACTCCGTAACTTTGACTAAAGGACGGAAGGAGGCGTGCTCTTATTTTTAGTCAATATCATCAGAGCGAGATGGGGTGTCACTCTTATGCTTTTTAGCGCATGCACTCTTCAGAAACAACGTGAAACTGGACCACATTATTTTCACTACATCAGGAGAAAGATGATAAGTCTATTGGTAAGTAGCAAAGGAGGAAATTTAGCAGATGATGAATTGACATCATGTAAACAGACCAAAACATTGAAGCTCCTGAGACGCCATTCCATGAACTTTGCGCTATGTACTGCTCGGTGTGGAAGGAACTCGATCCGCAGGCTACGGTCACGAGTGAACCAACGATTGAGAGAGCGGTAAAGCTCGCGAGACAAATAGTAAATGGTAAACTTAGGGCGCAATTTGGAGACCACATATACCAGGTCACAGGCAATGTTAGATAACTCCTGCTGAAGGGTGCTCATTGTCAGATGCGGTCTGGCATCAGCCATGCCCCAATAACTGATATCCCTCGCATTCCGAAAATTGCTGATGAAAACCAAACAAAAAATATAGAATGAAATAAAATGAAAAAAAGAATCCCAGCCAAATGGCAGCTGGAAGGTTAACCATTCCCTCGGATCCACCCCGGAAAACAACCCGGAGAAATCAGGAGAGACGACAGGCGGCTTGCCTTGCATATTTCATTATCTCCGCATCAAGAAAACCCAATGTTTCAAGCTAAGAAATGATTCATTTTTCATCGAAACAACTGGTCCCCATTGAGGACTAAAAAACCGCATTTGTCCCACTGTTGACCTCTTCTATGCCGGGAAACGTCTGGTTCTCGAACCAGTCATTTTATCTGACTCACTGAGGGGTTAGCGGGACACGGTGCAAACCAGAATAAATTGCGCTGGAGCTGTCAGATGCCACAGCTGTCTGAAAATGATAACTGTTCGTACAGGAAATCTCCCAACTTCAAGATGAATATGAAAGTCTCCCTTAATTAGTCCATGTTAAGTTGAAGAACGTAGATGATCCTGAGTGAGGTGGAAAATACCCGAGCATTTGGAGTTGTAACACATGGAGGTTTGGAAGCTTATTCATGAAATCTGGGGCCAAAGTTAGTTTCACCCATGTACATATAAATGAAGCTTCCGATTTTTGGGGGAAACACGCGCCTCAACATAGTCCATATACAAGCTTATTTTTTAAAGACTGACCCTCCACATACCTGCTAACACAAGCCCAGCTTTTCGCTGTAAATTGTTAACCAGATGCTGCTAGGTATACGGACCACCCGTTTGTAGACTGTTAGCAGCACATTTTGGATGGAGAGTCGTTCGGGGCAGACAAACAATGTGGTTACGTTCTCTGAAGAAGCACCCTTGTTAAAAGTCGATCGTGTCAGGTAGTTATAGATTGCATGAGCCCGAGTCTTTGGGGGGTTGAAGCGTTATGGAATCATAGAGTGAGACATGATAAAGACAATTGAAATATTTATCAAGAGTTGACCTGTTGCTTTGCCTATTTTGGAATCCCTCAGAACCCTCAGGCTAAAAAATAATAGTAAACAAGTGGTTCATCCAAGTCATAATAAGGTGATGACAATTCAACCACCAAGGAACCGAAGCGTGCGCCAAGGCTAGCGTTCGCTCGCTCCAGGCCTTGCCATTAATAAATACTTAGCTATGGCACTAGACGATTGACCCGACAGTTGGTAGATGATGGGAATCATTGGGTCATCGACACGATCTTGCAAATAAAAAATAAATAACTATCACCACCCACACATAAAGGCTGTGTTTATATTTATCGTGTTGGTTGTTGGACGGAGCATTCCGTGGTAGAATCGATGAAGTGTTTTTGTGGTTCCCCGCATCTGTTGACATCACGTGCGCCCTCGAGCTCGCCTAACCCTAAGGACTCGGCTGGACAAACCTGCGACTGGCCATCGACTGTCCACCGACTGCCCAACTACCCCCCAGATCGGAGATTAATAGAATATCTACCCTGACTATTACTGCGGGCATAAACTGTCCTTGTTCACATTCCTCAAGACAACCCCCGCTCTTCATCCTCCTTGATACTGGTATCCTGAATAATATCTGTTGGCTGGTGTCAGCTTCGTCTGCCCCCGGCCCCCGGCAAGCGTTTCCCTATTAAATAGCTGCCGCCGTATATCAACTCCCTGATCCTATTCATCTGAGGAAAGGTATGTATCTCGAACCTATCATATATGCTGGTATTGCGTGTTGCTATGTACTGGGAGTGTTTTGGTCATGGTGCTTACATATATTCTGCCATGTCGTATAGCTTGCCGCCTTACGGCCTCGTGCTCTAGATTAACCTTCCGCGAATTTCTTCGATAGTTACACGTGATTACGGGAAGCTCGACCGATTCAAATCCGTGCTTGTGACATCTGCCGCCACTGTAAGGCCCTTACTTGCAATCATTGGATTTGGAGAGGGGAAAGTTGATATGTCCTGGTATGTAACCAACACCCTCCCCCCTCTCATAACGCTACCTTTCCTACGCCTTTATGTCCCTTGAGCATGTGTAGGTGCAAAAGTTGTTAACCGGTTGCATACGAGTTGTTCTGTACACGTGCAACGGATTAGAGCCCTCAATAGATACCACGCATGGAAATAGTCAATCGTATGCCCTGTTGCCATCAAGAATGATTCCGTCTTAACGCAACTTGCTACTCTCAAGGGAGCTCCAGACGCGGGTGACCGGCGCATCATTGATATAAGCCAAAACTGGTAGCGAACGTCGCATTATGGATGGACAACGGCAACAGTATATACCTGCTCCGCCGCATCACATCTCGCAGTCTGGCTCCCAGACGCATATGATGTCTTTCCCGCCACCTCCTCCCCGAATCGCCCATGCAGCTCACGGTCTAGTTCCACCCCCTCCACCAGGTCCTCCGCCTGGTTCAACATATGGGATCCAACAGGGATGGCAACAAGGGTGGGGAAGGCATCAGGCAATGGCACAGCCTTTTCCCCCTCCCCCTCCCCCTCTGCTCAACCCCAACCAAGCTCAAAACCCACATCTAGCGTACAGCGTTACTCGTTCCCGTCAGCCTGCCCCTTTATCTATACCTTCTCGGTCGATATCTAATGAGATACAGCCTCTCACATCCGCAACATATATTCCTGGTGGTGAATCATTTGGTCCCGGAGTTGGCATCCCTCCCCTTTTCACCCATGACCTTCAGGAGCAATACGGATGTCCTCCTGAACAGTACCAATATTCCATTGAATCGGACAGTATGAGACATGTTTCCAACCCAACGAATAGTGATGGAGCTATGCAACATAACACGGGGAATCGATCACATCAATTAACCCTTCCGTTGCGCGACCCTAAGGACGTAATATCTCCAGGACCGCCAACTGCGACTTTGCAAAATCCGCAACCCCACAATTCCGCCCAGGTAAATGAGTCCTTTGTGGGTGGTATGACGGCTCAGGAAGCCGATGAACGTTGGCCTCTCGATCGTGTTTTGCTGTGGCTTGCCCAAAACGGATTCTCTAACGATTGGCAGGAAACCTTTCGCGTACTAGAGCTATGCGGTGCTAGTTTCGTGGAGCTTGGTAGTCGTGCTAATGGCAGAAGAGATCTGAGTAAGATGCACAAGGTGGTTTATCCTCAGCTCACAAAGGAGTGCATCAAGAGTGGCACTGGATGGGATAAGGCAAGGGAACTGGAGGAGGGAAAGCGAATGCGGAATTTGATACGGAGGATTGCTGATCAGGGAACCTCGGACAATGCAACCCTGGGGACGAGATATTACGAGAATTCAATGTTGCCAAGTGCGTCCACAGATGGAGGGTTGGAAAATTCACCCAATTTGGGGCGGGATTCGTTCCCAAGTCACATTACTGGAACTGCTGATAGTAGCCCTTGTCAACAATATACTGCCAAAGCAACACCTCTCAATGTGACTCAGAAGCAATATTCCTGCCATCGGACTGAATCAGGAACTCCGGATGCTCGGTCAGACTTCTCTCGAAGCGTTTTTGGAATGCTGGATGGGCGCCGTGGCCACAGCCCGTCTGCCTCAAGTGATAATGGAATTCTCGCCGTTTCAGAGGAGCACCCTCAAAGTGGCAGTCCTGCCCCTAATTACGTCGCAATGGCACACCAAGAATATGTCCCATACTCTGTGGAAGCGAACGGAAGATCTGATAAACGACACAGTTCTGATTCCATGTTGAGCCGCGGCTTCTCGTCCCAGGGCTTTTTTGGAGGCCAAGGAGGTGGTAGGCAGCCGGACCCCAAGAAAAATGGGCAAGGCCCATCACCACAGGATCAAGGCTTACGCCAAGGAACAGGTGAATCGTATCCCAAGGAGCACGGTAAGGGATTCTTCCACAAACTGAAATGGAAAAAGGGTCCTGATTCCATGCATCCTTCCCCTGAGGAAATAAATGCCGACTCGCCTACAAGTCCGGTGGGCATGCGCCAGGGACCCCCTCCAACATCGGTTTTTGCTAGGCCTGGATTCGATAGTGGTGACATGTCCCTTGGAGAACGGCCCCCCTCTTCTTTCTCAGATTATGAGAAAGTCCAGCCACCACGATCCAGGAATCCCACAAGTAGCGCACCACTAAAGAGATATGCTCTGGCCACACCTGATGGGTGGAATTATCGGTTGATAGACGTGACGGATGTGGATGCAGCAGATGCACTGCGCATTACTATATGTAATAGCCTGGGCATCAAGGATCCGGGAAGTGCACTGATCTATCTTACGGAGCCTGGCCAAATTACACACGAGGATCCGTTGAGTGATACAATGCTGGTCGTAAATCGCCGGACAAAATCAGATCCCCATGGGACTTTGAAATTTTTCGTTCACCTCGCCCATCCATCTCCGCCACCTGCACCAGCACCACAAGCCACCGGTTTGGGTCTGTCATTTGCTGAGCGGCGATCCAGGAATCCAGTAGACGATGATGCTCGACACCATGTATGGGGTGTATCGTCTAGACCTCAACCGCAAGCGATAAAATTTGATGCGGACAAACCACCTCCATATGATCAACAAGCTCAACCTTGGAATTTTGTTAGTGATAATAAGCATGCCAGTGAACAGGATATCGATGGTATAGAAGCGGCAATATATGCTGCGCATGAAGAGTACAGGCGGGAAGCTGAGCGAAAGCAGAAGGCTTATCTTCAATCAAAACAGGAAAGTCAGCAGCAGCTGAAGGAGGTGTCTAAAGTCTCTATAAGGCGGGATGGTGTGATAGATTTCGATTCCCCTCGACTTTCTCCATATGAAGATAAGAAGGCCGATAGCCTCGTTCCACTACGGAAACCCCCTTCAGCGCCATCGGAGTCAAGTACGCTCAGCAAAGTCAACTCTTTGAGCAGGAAACTAGGGGGTAGACCACGCAAGAACTCTGCTCACAAGCGCAGCCCTTCAGATCAAATATTCGAACAATGGGGAGAAAAGCAACGGACTTCAAGTCCCGCGCTACCATCACCTGGCCTGGCTGACGGTCTTGGAGTTGCATTAGCGGGCATTGGGAAAGTATCAAGTGCTATCGGAAAACCATTTCCTAACCAAACTATGACTTCTACACGTTCTCCTCTTTCTTCTTCAGAACCGGTTTCTGGGAAGGGTTGCTCACTGCAGTCCGTTGATTTCAATAATGCTAGGGGACGACGAGCTAGTCCAACAAGTTCCTCTCCTAAGGTGCCCATGTATACTCGCGGGAAGGGAAATACTGTATTCAGAGTACCGTTTTACGACTGGGATGGGAGTACCAAATGCCCCGCTGCTCCGCCTGAAGAAACAAAGTCAGCTGTTCCCACGCTGGAATCTGATTGTTCACATTCCATCAGCCCTGCGTCCGCACTTCCCGATACACAATCGCAACAAAAACAACGGAACCGAAAGTCAATTGGTCCTGACTTTGATTTCCAGGAGACGGAAGTTTCGTTCTCCAGAGTTCCTGTGCATGTAGAAGATTCGGATGAGGATTCAGATGAAGGCCTGTTTGCGATACCATTAGCTGGCGCGAAGGGTGGGGTGCAGCCAAAGAAAAATAAAGCACCGATGAAGAACATTAATGGTGGTCAGGGTCGTTCCGCTAAACCTGCTCTGACCGTCAATACTGGATCACGGGCAGCCAAGGGAATGTCCGTGAGCTTCAAATCACCAAGTACGGTAGAACCTTCGAATACACCGTCAACCCGAAGCACGGACAATGAGATTGGTGGAGAACAAAGCTTCAATGAATCCGCGAATGATGACAATAGCTCGTCAAAATCGCCGGAAACCAGCAGGGACAGCCGTCGCCATTCAATAATCAGGGATGACATTTGGGCTAGCAGACCTCCGGTTGATGGTATGATTGATCATCTAGATGATTTCTTCCCAGACGTTGATCTGGATGAACCATACGTGGAAGGGAGCTTGATGTCTCCACCAATGTCACCCGTGGGGGGACCAGGATCGAGCCTTGGCGCAGAGCTGTCCGATAACCAAACCTTGCGAAACCGTGCTGCCCATGGCACTTTGAATTCTCTAATGTCACATGACAGCATGGACACGCTGGGCTCAGATGAATCTACATTGAAAGCTAAAGGGATAATGAATAACGTTGCGCAGCGGAATATCAATCGATCTCAAGGCGGTGGGCTAACGCGTATGAAATCCATCCGTGAGGTTGCAAAGGGGGCGCATCAGATTCATAGAAATCAGAGCATAACGGCTTCCAATGCTAAATCGGGCGCTCTACTTCGACGGAAAAGTACTAAGATGTTCGGTGCGAAGATTTTACAGGTTAAGCCGGGCAGTCGGCTGAGTGAGCATCCGATTCCCATGCCGCAGAATGTTGGGGCTGGGTCGCAGAGTAAAGTGCCACAGAGGCAGGCTACATTCCGAATCATTCGAGGTCAACTTATAGGCAAGGGTACGTATGGAAGGGTTTACCTCGGCATTAATGCTGATAATGGTGAGATCCTGGCCGTGAAACAGGTGGAAGTGAGTCCGAAGGCTGCAGGCCAAGACAAGGATAAAATGAAAGAGATGGTCTCGGCACTCAACCAAGAGATCGACACGATGCAACATCTCGAACACCCCAATATTGTGCAGTATCTTGGCTGCGAGCGCGGTGAGCTGTCCATTTCCATCTACCTCGAATATATCCCTGGTGGCTCCATCGGCAGTTGTCTGCGTAAACACGGCAAATTCGAAGAAAGCGTCGTTAAGTCCCTTACGCGTCAGGTTTTAAGCGGGCTGGCATACCTGCACGACCAAGGCATCTTACACCGCGACCTGAAAGCGGACAACATCCTTCTAGACTTGGACGGGACCTGCAAGATCTCCGATTTTGGCATCTCCAAGAAAACGGACAATATTTACGGCAATGACGTGACGAATTCAATGCAGGGTTCTGTGTTCTGGATGGCACCGGAAGTTGTCCAGTCACAGGGACAAGGTTACAGTGCCAAAGTGGACATTTGGTCACTTGGCTGCGTGGTGCTGGAGATGTTTGCGGGCCGACGACCGTGGAGTAAAGAGGAGGCCATCGGGGCGATTTTCAAGTTGGGGAGTTTGAACCAGGCTCCGCCGATTCCTGATGATGTGTCTGTGGCTATCACACCGGAAGCGTTGGCTTTCATGTATGATTGTTTCACGATGTATGTTTTCCTTTTCCTCTTTTCTTCTCCTACCGTCTCCCCATTTTGTCGTAAACTTTTGTATACGTGAAACTAATGGTGGTAATTTTTTGGGAACTTTAGTGACACCTTCGAACGACCAACTGCAGAGACTTTGCTGTCTCAGCATCCCTTTTGCAAAGCTGATCCACTCTACAATTTCTTGGATACCGAGCTGCATGCGAAGATTCGCCATGTTCTCTGAACGACTTTGATAACCGTCGTAAACAAATCTAATAGAAACGCAGGCGTATATTCAGGGATTGTTATTGGTGTTAATCTCTTTAACTGGTGAGTTTGTTATGGTTGTATGTAATCTTTGATTCTTTCTTTGTTTTGAATCTCTTTTAATACTTCACTTGTTCTACTCTGCTTATGGCTCATTTACTTGCATTGGATCTTGCCTCTCTTATTATCTTTTCGCAACTTTTGACATACCCGTTTGGGAATTTCATTTTGTTTTTTATTTTCCTTTGGTCATTCGAATGGAATGTATATGGATGACATTTTGGTCTGAATTATATGGGTTAAGAGAGTGAGTGAATGGTGGCAAGGAGCTTCTGGATTAAGGTGTTTCTTGTTTGAAGCTAATCTTTTCTCTTTTTTTCACGGTTTACTTTTTCTGTGAATATATATCCGACATATTAATAACGAAAATAAAAATAGTAGGAGAAACATTAAATATATATCATCTATTTATGAATGCTAGAGTTGAGTGATCATTTCTTCTCCGGCCCTGGTAAGATTTGATTGGGTGTATTGCGCTTTTGCGTTTGACGAACTATAGGGTATAAATTATATACATCTCTATGTAGAAGGCATGAACTGAACTTGTGTATTCTCTTGCTATATTGATTGCCCAGGCAAACACTCATCGTGGCATCAACTTCTATTCCTGCTGCGGCTTCGACGTTCACTAGTCGACGATCGCATCGTCGTCTTTATCTTCGCCAAGCTCAGCTTGTTCGCCGCCTGACTCAAACCCAGTAACACCAACTCTAAAAACAGCCTCACTCCATGCTGCAAAAGTGTCAATATCCCATACGCCATCCTCATGAGCCTTTTGATTCCTTTCCGCTGGCAACAGTTTACCATTATGGGCAATTTTATTATTAGTATTAGACTCCACTTTCGCCCCAGCTTCTAGAGTAGCTGTATACCCATTGAAGAAATCCTCATAGACTTGAATCACACAATCCTGCACCGCACTCACAAGCGTCTCTGTTGTCCCAGTATCGTCGAGGTAATCATCAAGAATCTGTCGAAGATGGGGTACTTCCATCTCGATCGCTTTGACAGTAAGTCGCAACGCGTTACTATAGGACTCGCTCCTGTTTGTGGACTTGGCTGGCGCGGTGAGAGATCTGGTCATCCTGGAGGCGAAGGAGTTGGTGAAGTCGTTGATTACCGTGCGTAACCTGCCGTCTAGTTCGACTTTTGCATCAATCATGTTTTCTACGACGCGGGGTAGCAGGCCACGACCAACCAGCCGCATGAGGTTCCGTGGGTTAAAGAGACCTCCGCGTTCTCTAAGTTCCCAAAACGTGTTAGTTACACCGGAGAAGTCGAAGGAGACATCCGGGCTGACAAATTCGATATCGAATGCAACGATTTGTTGTTTGAGGAGGAGGAGGTGTTTGATTAGAAATAGCTGAGCGTCTGCTGGAGAGGCCTTTGCGGATATTTGGCTGCTTGCGGTGTGTAAGGATACGTTGGTTTGGTGGACGATTTGATGAGCTAGATCGTCAAAAACAGTTGACTGTAATGATTTTGTTAAAGGTATAGAAATAGGAGATGGAAGTGCTAGGTATTTATTTACATACATTAACGAGGCGATAAATACGACTCAGCAGCCAAACTGCCTTTCTCAAAGTTGGGTACCATCCCTCAAAAACGGCCCCGGAATCAAAGTCCCATCGGGGATCCTTTTCTTGAGGTGAATCAATGTCTTCGTCAACAACCACGGGCGTCTTCGGTACAGGGGTTGACGGTTCAGCAAAGGACTGCTTTCTGTGCGACCCAGTATTGGAATTATTTGATTCTGGTAATGGTCTTTTTCGATTACGAGCTGGGTAATCAAGGTCCTCGGGCCGCGGCTTATATTTCTCAATTTCATCTCGTAGTATTGCCTGTGCACGAAAGACAAGTCGGGTTTGTGCATCCTCTAAGGCGGGTTGGATCAAGACAGAAAAGTCAAGTTGGGTCGGGTCTGTATACTCTCCATCTTCCTCGGGATCCGATAAGTAACGAGTTTGTAGCAATGAGCAGAGCTGGCACAGCTTGACAAGTTTTGTTTCATGGATGATCCTTGGCCTCAAGTGGTCGTAGAGCGGCTCGCAGACAGCTTCTAGAAAATCATAAAGCCCTTGTTGGCCATGAAACCACTGACCCCATAATTCAAATTCATCTAGACAAATCCCACGAATATAACTGATACTAGCTCGTGCAAATGCTACAAGGTCTTTCGATGTGCTTGGAGCCTGCGCAATATCGTTCAACCTCTTCCGCAATATAGGTATTACCAATTTACCTCTAGTAGCTGAAAAACTACTATGAAGCTCATTGAGCAAGCTCTGGTATTCAGCTTCAGCGCCTTGCTCTGAATCAGCAGGCGGCACTGCTCGTTTTTGTATTTCTAATCCGATATCCTTTAAATCTGCAGCACCCACGCGAAATTTAGCATATAAAAGAGCAGACATAGTGGTATCATTAAGCTGCCGGTCTGCAATTCTTTTCGCCACTCCCGAAGATATCTCCCGCAGTGTGGATACGAAATGGCCCCTGATCAATGTGAGGGCACGAGTCAAAAGAAGGCGATATCGAGACCTATATGTCTCTGATTCTTTTTGTTCAGGCTTTTACAATTAGTATATAGTCATAGCAAATTTTTTGAATGGAGCAAACACTCACATGAGCCTGCATATAATCCAAGCACTCGTCCAGCCGTTTCAACATGTCGGAAAAGTCTTTCGTCCGCACGGAATTTCCTGCGCTCGGCGCATTCAGTCTCCGTGATACGGGATCCAAAAAGTCATAATATTGTAGATTCTCGTGAATATCCTCGGCTAGTCTGGCACTGCGTTTCTGCGCAGAGAGTAGCCCCTCACACTGGTGCTGGAAGGCTGATGTTTGCGTTTCCACAGCTTTGAATGATTCGGAAAGTCTAGATAAAAGGTCGAGCGTAGACATAGTGTCATTTAGAAGAGAATCGAGATGCGATTTTGAAGCTTCTAGTTCATCAAGACACAATCTGTTTGCAAGGAGAGATTAGTTTCGTTGTCCGTTGCAGAGCAGGAAACAGTAAAACTGGGACCATACTGATATTCTTCATAGCTGACCTCTAGCAACTCACTCCCAATGGAGCCATACCATTGCGCAAACTCAACGTCATTTTTAATTTCCTCCATTGAAATTTCTCGTGCATCGCCCGCCCCTTTGGCAGACGGTGAAGCTGCGTTGCTGGGATGGCGAGGTTGATTGTCAATCTCCGGGGCCATAATCAAGCATGATAATATAAAAGTAGGCAATGTTACCTCATCGCTGTTCCATTGCTGTGCAGTCACCACCTTCTAAATAACAAGAAGGCTGTGATATTGTGGGGTATTAAAGATCTTCTTCAACATCTTGTTGAAATGGACACCTTTATTTAGCTGAGAAGTTAATCATGTCTCTTGGGCTACTTATTCAACGTAAGCAACAATTCTGCCGGGTCTTGCCGCTAACTAGGTAGTTAATGCTCCAATGGAATTAGTCAGCAAATTAGCTTCCGAGGTTCCCGTATAAACTTTCCCTCAGAGTCCCATGAAGTGACATCAATTAACTCGGGTATGATGTGTCTCGATAAGCTGCTCAAACCGCAAAACTTGACCGATGGGTGGGGAACGTCCCTGAAATAACAAAATAATGTTTAAAAGAAGTAGTAAACGACTTGCGTCACAACCCTTCATAGCTCCAAAATGCGCCGCCCAACGACCAATCTTCTCTTCCCCACGATGCCGCCCTTACTCTACCACTGAACCTCCCAAGCCACCGAAGCGATCTCTTCTACCACCAGGCTCAGGTCCCTACGTTGCCGTAGCAGGCGTGACTGCTGCTCTGTCCTTGGGGTATTTTTATACAGGGGACAGACGGGGAAATCAGGATGAAACATCAAGATTTTTCCGGCCAAAAGTTATCCTCCAGGAGGCCAAACCCGACAAGAATCTATCAACAGAAGCAACCAGAGAGTCGCTCAGCCCACAACATGTCCAGGTGAAAAGGAGTTGGGAGTGTCCGGGGTTGTACGCTTGGGGATCAAACGCAGGATCGGTTGCGAACCCGGACTCGAATGAATATGTCATCAAGGCTCCAAGAAGGATATCATATTTCGATGGCATGGTTCTTCGTGATGTCAAACTCGATCAAAATTTTGGCGCTGCAATTTCAGAAAATGGAGATTTGATACAATGGGGCAAAGGCTATTCAAGGACTGATTACAAACCAACCAAGACTCTCAAAGGCAAAGACCTTGTGTCCTTGTGCATTTCAGCAGACCGGATCATTGCGTTGTCGTCAAATGGAAATGTTTATTCACTCCCTGTATCAAAATCCGAGCAGGAGAATGGCAGGAAACCTTACGAAAGCTCCTGGATCCCCTTTTGGCGAACGCAGGCTGAGCTGAGTTACCGCCCGCTTCAACCACAACTTGGGTTGGGTGAAAGGGTGATCGCAATCAGTGGAGGACTGGAACATGCACTTTTGTTGACGAATTCTGGTCGCGTCTTTTCTGCTGCTGTTGGCTCAGAACATTTCCCTTCGCGTGGTCAGCTTGGTATTCCAGGGCTGACGTGGAACAATCGACCCAAGGGGCCATATGACCTATGCCACGAAGTTTGCAAGCTACGTGGAATCTATATTACCAATATCGCAGCTGGCGATTGGCATTCTCTGGCACTTGATAAAGCTGGGCGGGTCTTCGTATTTGGTGATAATGTCTCCGGTCAGTTAGGTTTGGATACAAATATCCTAACTCCATTCAACGATACACCAGAAATTCTCCCCCTGGAGCATCTTTATCCAGCCAGCGCCTATCAGATAAAAGCAACAGGAATTGCCGCTGGGGGCACAAACAGCTTTTTCATCGTCAGCGCTAAGAGAATTCTTAGTTCCCTGGAGATTCCAACCGCTGTTACGGATCTTGGCCGTGTCACTACAGATGTTTGGAGTTGTGGAAAGGGACTATATGGTGTCCTCGGGAATGGAAAATGGACCCACGTTCAAAACAAACCCTCAAAAGTGAAGGCTTTAAGTGGCTTATCTGAATACAGTGATACCGCACAGAAGATCGTGCCCATTGGTATACGCCACATTTCAGTAGGAGCAACCCACGCCGCCGCTGTTCTGGGCAACTTTACCAATGTTTCAGGATCGACAAATGGCTCCCAAACGGATACCTACTGGGGTGCGGACGCTTTCTGGTGGGGTGGCAATGAGTTTTACCAACTAGGAACTGGAAAGAGAAATAATATCGCGTCCCCGACGCACATAAGCCCACCAGCTGATGTTGACATCCGTGACAACCAACGTGACGAGAATCGGTTCCAGATCACTCCTCGCCGTACCGTAAAGTTAGACGGAAGGAAGGTAACTCTGGAGCAGCGAATTGAGTGCGGAAGAAACGTTACTGCGGTGTATTCTGGAGTTTGATACACTTTACTTCGGTGTCGGCATTTGAAATCTACAAAAGTTATTTCTGTAATATATCGTCTGTGAAGTATAATATGGGAGGTGGGTTAGCTGGTTTTAGCCCCGCTCAATTTTCTGGATCTTGCAGCGTTATCTACTTCAAACACTTATTGAGATGATCTGTCTTTTTTTTTTTTTTTTTTTTTTTTTTGGGATCTGATTAATGACAATTTCCTCAGTATTTTCTCGTCTAGGTTTGAGCGAATATAAGATCGACCGATGTTTGCAACGGTTGCAACTCCCTGTAGGTAACTAACTTATAACTGACTAATTAACGTAATTCCCAAGAGAGCGGAATCACCCAAGCGAGCAGACCACCAATTCAAAATATCTTCTCATTTAACTACTCATCCATCTCAATGCACAATTATGCCACCAATTTTCAATAAAAATGCTTCAAATTCTCTAGAGAGAGAGAGAAGACTTGAGCTCACAATAAATGCTTTAAAAATGCAAGAAATATTCTCAATTTGTGAAGCTGCATATGTATTTAATATATTATTCTCTACTCTAAATTATAAACTTAATGACTAAACTGCTTGCATAAATCTACATGTAGATTCAATCAAATTAATTCAGACTGAAGAGAATAGGCTAGTTGAATGAATGATGAATCAAGCTAAACAAGAATTTTTCTCACAGCTGGCATTTGTTGAAAATACAGTTAATTATCTTCTAATTATATAAAATTTCATCATCTTCATTACTACTACTCTCTGTGTTAACAAGAACTGAGTATCAAATCTAATAATAAGCTATTCAGAGCTTTAGACTCACTACTCTAAAGACTATAATTACAACTAGATCAAATATAAAAATATAATAATTATTCAGATTTAATTTATTATCATAAAGATTATAATTACTAAGTATAAAAATCTATTAGAGAATATATACAACTTTGATGAGATTGATATTGCAATAAGACTTTATTCTCTTTAAGATTATTATTAGCAGTAAGTGCAACAGCTAGATAAAGCTTTTATCTATAGTCTGAAAATCAGAAATAAATAATTATAATTGAATTAATTAATATATTAAAATGAACTCTATTCTCATATATTTAATGTAAATAAAATAGAGAAGTAAAAAGCAAAATAAATCTAAACATCAAATTCAATATGCAGAAGATCTAACTAGAAATGAAGCTTAAAATCTTATTATTTCATTAGCTACAATCTGTTGAACAGATAGTTATTCAACTCTATAAGTATCTATTATCTAAGTCTGCATCATATCAATGAGCTCCATAATGCTGCAGCAATTGTGAGGCTCTTAGACATATAAGAGTAAGATGTCTTGAATCTAGTGTCAATTAATTTTATTTAATTAAGTATTGTGGTGTTGAGATAATTTGATTTAAATTCTAGTAGGTTGGGATATGATGATTTTATGATCCGCTCGCTTGGAAATTATGTTAGTTAATAAAGTTAATAACATAATCAATAAGTGAGTAAATCATATAAGTGAGTGAACCACTTCCCACTCTCTATATAATGAGAATGTTTTCAAAGTCTCAACTATAAAAAAAAACTAGTAAATTATATTATAAATTATTTTTTATACACTTAGAGCATGTATAAGCAGTATGTTCAATAATTTCACAGACATTACACTGTAATGCTGCATGTTTTTATGATCATAACTCAGCAGTCTCAACCATCTCTACTCCCATTCATTGACTCTTTGTACACAATTCAAGCTTTCTTCAATTCTCAAAGCACCCTCTTGAGCTATATATGTACAGCCTCTTTCTTGTTTTTTCTTTTGTTTGGCATTTTAAGCTTTTGACTCTCTGTTTTCAGTTGCTAGAATAGCAACACTATGTATTGCCATTTGACATCCCTTGACCAGCTGACTTAGAGCATGATTAGTTGGACTGGATGGGCTCTGTGTATGATGCTTGATATATTCTTTAACTTTCTCAGCCTGCTGCTTTAATTGGTGTACATTATGTGATGTAACTGTCAATCAAAAGGTCTGAGAGTTGTGAGAGGTCCCTGAGAAGGTAAGAGTATGCATCATGATATTAAGCTATGAGAGAATCTGCTCAGGATTATATAGAACCAGCTCAGCAGCTCTAAAACTGCTTTTGATATTGCTCTTAGTCAGAGTCTATATCTGAGCTACAGAATAGAGACTCAGAAACTTCTTTTTGTCAATATGATTGATTTCAAATCACATCTGATTTTCCATCTGCTGTCTATACATAGTTTTCAAGAATGAGAAACAGCCAACATTCAATGACTGAAGAAGATAAGAGGAATGTGATAGCATATAGAGGATAATGATTTGATTCTCAGTACAAAATTGATCAAATTTAGCTGAGGCATAGCTTCAGTGTCAGTCTAGAATCAACAGTCAATATCTGCTCTTCATATAGAATAGAGTCTTTTTGTTGAACATCTCTTTCAGTCAGTACAAGTCTAGCTGATCAGTGGTTTGATCATTCTCACTGACTTCAATCACTCAGTCATGTGATAGTCCTTCTGTCTTATACCAGCAGAATTAATGCATTTTTTCTTTGAGAATAATTATTGTATATAAGACTCAGTCAGTTACATTGACTCTAGCAATAACAGTCACTTATTCTCAATCTTCAGACTGTACAAACTTAGGATTCTCAGCTCTTTCAGATTCAGTCATCACTCTAACAGTCTCAATTACACTCATCTGAAACTCTGTCTCATCAAAGTTGTAGATATCATCTTTCAGAATCTTATACTTCACAATAGTATTTTGTACAAGTCTAAATCACTTACAGATAATCTTAGAATTCCTATATAAAATCTGCTGATGATTATACTTATGTGAGAACTTGAATTTTAACTCATTATGATGCTTGATAAAGTTTTATACTCAGCATTTACCCATTGTAAGTAGGGAATTAGATTCTTAACTGACAAGAAGAAGATTGATTATTTCTCATACAGCTGCAACTGAGGAAGGCTGATCTTGCTCATCTATGATCAGAATCCATTGAACAAGAGATTCTTCCTCTGTAAGACTAAGTTTCCAGTTCTTTTGAAGAAGTGTCAACATGTGCTGTATGACCATGTATGTAATGAGTTAAAGTTATATAAGAGACTTCATATAGCTTTGCTGCAGCTCATACACTTGAAATTTGATCATTTTTAAGTGCTTGAATGGCTAAAAGAAGCCTTCCTTCCTGAGTAGAGGCTTTATTTCTTTGTGTGGTTGACATTTTTGATGCAGAGCATTTCTCATTGTATGAAGGGTGGGAAGTGGTTCACTCACTTATATGGTTCACTCACTTATTGATTACATTAAGTTACACTGATGACGTAAGCCGCTAGCTGGGAAGCTTGGACCACCGCTTATTAAAAAAAAATATAAAAAAAATAAAAGAGTTGGATAAGCAACGAACAAGTCAAATAGAGCTTGCCTTGGGGTTCTTGGTTGAATTCTTCCGTAGACGTCTGTTCTATTGGGATTTCAATTGAATGAAGGCCAGTTGAAAAAGGGTTTTTACCATGCCTAGAGACAAGCAAAAGCGTGGACGCAGAGCCGAAGCCAAACGAAAGCGAGACGATGTAATCACGGACCCTACGGTGCTGAAACGACAGAAATCCTCGGATGTCTGCAATTACCCCAATCCTTCGTATGAGCAACTGGAGATAAGGGGCGACTACATCCCACTCGATGAGGAGCCAGTGGACTACACGGGAACCCCCTTTTATGGGCTCCTGGATATCGAGGAGCAGGAATATTTTAGTCATGCAAGCGGTCTCCTGGAACTTAACCAGTTCGAGACCGAGGAAGAGAAATCTATTTTTATAGAACGAGTATACGAAGAAGCCAACGGGAAGGAGTTGAAGATTGCCTGCAGCCAGTCATGCTCAAGACTGATGGAGAAACTGATTTCAGCTTCTACCGTTAGTCAGATTAAACGCCTCTTCAGCAAGTTTATTGGTCACTTCCTCAACCTCGTCCAACATCGATTCGCGAGCCACTGTTGCGAGTGCTTGTTTATTCATGCTGCGCAGCATGTAACATCGGAAATGAAGAAAAAGTCATCCAAGGAGAAGGAAAATTTGGAGGAGGATTCAACAAGTGAATTACAGCTAGAGGATCTATTCTTGAAAGCAATTTCTGAGCTTGAGGGTAACTGGGGTTACTTGCTAACTGAGCGATTCGCGTCTCATACAATAAGGCTGCTTCTTTTAGTACTGGCTGGCAAGCCTCTGCGCAATTCGTCGACTACTACGGTTATCGCAAGTCGCAAAAAGGAGTATCTGGCGTCAAAAGTTGGCACGCAACTGGATCCTTCGATTTCAGAGAAACGGGCTGTTCCAACTTCGTTCAACAAAGCCTTGGAGAAAATGATGAAAGATTTGGTTGCTGGTCTCGATAACACTTATCTGAGAGCCCTTGCAACTCATCCCGTTGGAAATCCCGTTTTGCAACTCTTATTATCAGTCGAGCTCAGTCATATGGGGAAATCAAAAGCTAAGGATCCCGATTCCTTATTACGAAGACTTGTCCCGGATGAGAACTTGCAGGGAGACGGTGAGAGCGCAAATTTCCTAAAGGGCCTCTTTTATGACCCCGTTGGCTCGCGACTATTGGAAACGATAGTCCAAGATGCCCCAGGAAAGTTTTTTAGGCTATTCTACAAAATTCTAGTTCGGGAGCGAATTGGATCATTCTCAAGGAACGAGATTGCTGGACATGTCGTTGTGCGAATTTTGGAAAGATTAAGCAAAGACGATCTAAAGAGTGCCATGGACATGATTCTCCCTGAAGTTGCGCCCTTAGTCGAGCGCTCACGGCTTACTGTCATAAAAGCTTTGATTGAGCGAGGCATTGTCCGGGGTGTAGATCTAGGTCCTCTCGCGGCTGCCCTTTTGTCGGCTTATGGGGATGATGCGGTTTCAAGGATTAACAACATGTTGAAACTGCAGCGGTCTAACCAGGAAAGTGACGGTACTACATCATCTTCCAATACTTCCTCTCCAGAGCAATTACATGGATCTCTCCTTGCGCAGGCAATGCTAAAGTCCACCGGTCCTCTCAGCGAACTAGTACAGTCAAGTCTTCTCGCCGTTACTACAGAAACTTTAATTTCTATCGCTCAGGATCCAGTTGTTTCCCACGTCCTTCAAGATGCACTGACACTTCCAACTTCAACTCCTCAATTCCGTCGTCAAATAACTTCCAGGTTTTCAGGAAAGATTGCTGAACTGGCATTACACTCTAGCGGATCTCATGTTGTTGATGCCCTTTGGCCGGCAACGAAGGATTTACTCTTTGTTAAGCAACGATTTGCTGAAGAGCTGGTTGTGCACGAACGCGCTCTTCGAGATTCATTTGTTGGGCGAGCTGTATGGAGGAATTGGTCTATGGATTTATATAAGAGGAAAAGAGGAAGCTGGATTGCAATAGCTAAGGGATTGGAAGACAGTACCGATATAAATCCGAACGCTTTGACACATAAACCGAAGTCAAACATAGACCTAGCAAGGGCTAGATTTGCAGCGAAGGCAAACGGTTCAAAAGCACCAAGCTAACACCCCATCAAAACAAACAAAAAATACCTACAACATCTGTGAAAAGGGTGAGATAGCCGATATACGAAGGGGCCCGATACGGCCTAGAAAGGGAAGATGATGTACGAAATAGGAAGGCGGTGAATCCAAAATAGGTAATCCTCCGTGAGGCAGAATAGTGATTGTATTGAACTGACTGAACTGAATTGCCTCTCAGTGAACAGAGGATTTCACTTCTCTTTTATAGAGGTGAGAAATGACGATATTCTTATGCTTATACTGCTCATTTTACATACAATTCTAGCCTGAAAAGGCAAGCAAAGGCATAACAATGAGAAAGATATCCCTCAATAGAAGAACTATCAATGAATGAAAGGCAAATGTGATGGCGTAGAACGGGCTCCGTCCGGAACTACTCAACGGCGTAAGGCCACTCGGCTGGAAAGGGTAATTGCAACTGCCTAGCAACAGCATAGCAACCGCGCTAAGGAAAGGGGTATATAAACAGAGCCTTCCCCGGACCCGTCTTTTAAGAATCATTTTAGTGTTTCGTTGAAATAGCTTACTGAGTTGGCAATCAAACACCAGTTTACCTACGCCTAGATTGAAGCCGTGACAGCAAATACTTTGAGTATATTCATCAATAGACGAACAATTGATGAGAGATGATTGAAGAAAGGCAAATTCTTTTGTGTATATCTATCAATAGAAGAACTATCAAAGAAAGGCAAATTGAGATGAAAGCAGTAAGTAAGCTGCATGCAATTACAGCATGTTGAAACCATGATGCAGGGGTTTCTTTCAAAGATTTCTTCCTGCCAAGACACTATATAATATCATGAAATCTTAATTCTACCAGAATCTTACTTATTATTAATATATGAATAATTATATTAATTATGATATATTGATTTTTAAATTTCTTTTCAAATTTAATTCTTCTTTCAATATGATTTGAAATATTAATAATGCTACATATACTCTTATAATTATATTTAAATCTATTGAGATCTTAAAGAAAACTTATTTATTTATTTAATTAATCAATTTTATATATACTTATATTATAGAAAAAGACTTTAAATCAAATTACTAATCTTTAACTATTCAAAATAACTGATTAAAAGATGCTCTTTACTCTGACTGATCTTCTAAATATGTATCTGAAATTCAGCAATAAATTATTATTAAGATATAAACTACTCTATAAGAGTGAGAAAAAAATTGTACTAATATTATAAGTAAACTTAGTTTGAAAAAATTCAATATTTCTATCACTATAATATGAAAAATTATGAAAATTACTGAATTTTAGAAAAATAAAACTAATATAAAAATATAAATTAACTAAGAAAATAAGATAAAAATATTATTAATTTTATCTTGAATATAAAGATTAAATCTTTAAAGATTAAAATTTAATTATTTAATATAATAAAATTTTTATTATTCTTTTTTATTGATATGATATATATTAAATATAATAAATCAAAGAAAAAATCTTCATATAAAACTATATTTAAAAATAATAAAAGAGTTCTTCTAAGTTTATTCAATTTAATATATAATTTGATGATAATAATATAGTTAAGAATCTATTATTATTTAATCAATATAACTTTAAAAAGACTTAATAGATAGAGATTATAAATTATATAAGAGTTTTGAGGAGAAAATACCAAGAAAAGCTTTAATAAAATATTAATACTAAATTATCAGAATCTATATTAGAGGATAAAATAGTATTAATAATTAATATTATACTATTAAGTATCAAAGATAATATATATAAAAAGTATCAATCAAACTACTCAAAACTCTGATAGTCTGAAACTTTGATAAATATAAAGAACTAGTTAGAGCTAAAAAAGATTGAAAAGAAAATTTGATATCTATAATCATATATAAAGATATCAAAAATAACTACTTTTCTAGTATCAAAAGAGTAAAAATTAAATGCTAGAATAATTTTTTGAAAATATAAAAAATAAAGATATTTTTAAAGCTATTAACTATACTAAAATCTAGAGAAGTAGTAAAGCTTCTTACATTAAAATATAAATATTAAAGTTAAGATTATATTATTAATATATTTTAAGAAAAATATCAAGTATTTATAAGAGTTTTATTTTTAAAATTAATAAAATCTGAGAAACACATTTTTATAAATGAATATTATAATGATAAAACAAAGTAAAAGTGGTTTGACTTAATAAAAAATAAGCTAAAAACAGCTATTTTCACTAGTTCTACTAAAAAAGCTGCTGGTCCTGACTCTATAAATCACTTTATAATAAAAAAAGTATACCGTGAGCTAAAAGAAGAACTTTTTGCATTATTCTTCTCTTTGATAAAATATGAATATCATTTAATATGCTAGAGAGGGGTAATAGAAATTATTTTAGTAAAGTATAATAGAAAATCATTAATTTCTAAATTCTATAAAGTCATATTTCTTTTGAATTGTTTAGAAAAGATTTTAAAAAAATTATTAATTTTAGACTTTCTTTTCTAGTTACTATTATTAATTTATTATAAAATAATTAAATAAGTAGTAGAAAATAAAATTCAGCTATAGATATAGTTTTATTAGCTATTCATAATATTCAAATAACTGAAGATAATAGTCTAGTCTTAACTGCTGCTTTTATTGATATTAAAGATGCTTTTAATCATGTTTCAAAAAATAAAATAATTTTAATTATACAAAAGCTAAAGTTATTAAAGTTTCTAGTAAAATAAGTTATTTATTTTTTAATAAAAAGAAGTATTCAGCTTTTCTTTGATGCAATAAAATAAAAAACACCTTTATTAAAATAGAAATTTCTCAAAAATCTTCAATTTTATCTATTTTTTTTACTATATATATAGCTAATTTATTTAAGAATAAAAGTATATTTATAGTAAAAACTCTCAACTATATTGATAATATTGATCTTATTACTAGTTTTAAATCTATACAAGAAAATTATAATAATATAAAAAGAGCTACAAAGGAAATATTTGAAAAATAAAATAAAAATCTTATTTAATTTGATATGAATTAAACAGAGTTGATTTATTTTTATTTTAAAAAAAACAAGAGAAAATTATTACTCTTCATGTGATGTTCCATCTCTATTCTTCCACCCCTTTCTATATTAGTATCCACTCTCTATTCACCTCTTTCTAATCCACTCAGAGGTCTTAATCTTTTCTATATTTTCTATTCTATGTGATCACTCCTATCATATAGAGTGATTATAGTGTGTATATATAGCAGGGCATCTACCCCTCTTATTAGAAGAGAATTAGACATGATTTATTCTATTTATTCAATTGCTCGTACGCATCACTTCAAGATAAAGCTTTAAAATCAAAAACTTCTATAAGATAGCTGAGAATATGTTTAGACTCATAGCTTAACTTTAAAGATTATATTCAAAAAAGAATTACTCAGACTAAGAGAACTTTGAATAGTATTATTAGACTTTTTAATACAGAAAGAGGTTTATTTATCTTTTCAAGTTATGAGATAATTATATATAGCTTGTACAGCTTATGTATCAGATTATATAGTAGAAATTTAGTGAAAAGTGTAAAAGAGCTTTATAAATCAATTTCAACTATTATAAAATAAAACTTTAAAAAGAGTTCTAGGAGCTTTTAAAATATCTTCAATTAGAGTTATAGAAATAAAGATATTAATTCCACCACTAGCTATTAGATTTAATAAAAGCTATATGAATTATGCTCTGAGAATCATAAAAATATATATAAATCATTCAATTTAAATAAGAGTATTGTAAAAGATTAAGCTTTAAGAATAAGAGGCTAGTCCTCCTATATAACAAGGACAAATTGCTTGAGAAAGGGAAGAAAAGAATGAGATGAGAACTCAAGCTTAAGTGAGCTTGCATAGCATGATCATGTGCATATATGCAAATGATGACTAGGCTGAGTCAGCCAGCCAGAGTGAATCTAGAAGTTCAACTTCTTATAATACCCCTCTTCTCCCTCTTTGTTGCAGGTCTTTATAACTATTTAAAATCCTCTTTACATCTAATTTTGTCTGCTAAGAGGCCTCTTAAGTGTTCAAGGCCTTCACTTCTTGTAGGAGACTCATATCATTTCATGTAGGCTCAGCCCAATCTACTCATTTAACAAGATATTGCTTTTTTCTCTGATAGGTTTGTTCACTCTGAATTTCCTCAATCTCAAACTCAGATCCTTCTGGGGTCTTTATAGCAGATGGCTGTCAGTCAGTTTGCCTCTGACTAGGCAGGGAATTCATCACTGCAGCATGTAGAAGCTTTACATTAAAGACATTGTGAATGCTGAGTGAGACATTCAGTCAGTAAGCATGAGATTCTACCTTTTCTAGCACAGTATATTGATTGTATTTCATGTCCAGCTTCTTGCACAGATGATTAGTTCTCATGTTCTCTAAGCTCAATCAGATCTTATCTTCAGATTGAAAGCTTGAAGCTAGATCTCTTTGTCTATTCACATATTTCTCTTGAGATTGCTGAGCATCTGTCATTTTTACTTAAGTTTACTTCAACACTTCATAGACTTTTCTCATATAATCATCTGCAAACTCAATAGAATTATATAATGTTTCAACAGAGGATGCATCAGCTATATCAATAGAGAAGACATGGAAAAGATATGTTAAAAAGAATGAGCTCATGCTCATTGAGGCAGTATCTCTATTATTGATGACCAGCTCTGCTAGAGGAAGTCATTCACATCAATCATTCTGTTGAAAGTTAACATACTTGTGTAGATAGATTTTCAGAATCTGATTCATTCACTTTGTAGCTTCATCAGTCTCTAGATGATAGACTGTGAAGAGTCATCTCTTAATGTCTAATTTCTCACACATCTGAGTTCAAAACATGCTTATGAAAGCTGACCCTCAATCTGACACTACTATTTTATAAATGTCATGTTGAGAAATGATGTTGTGAAGAAACACTCTAGTCACTGTCTCTGCATCAGTTTTCTTAACTGCTTTTAATATAACTCTCTTGATCAGT